TTCCTTTTTTTCCAATTTTTTCTATTGATTTTCCAAAAAAAAAATTAAACAAACAGACAAACATAAATCTCAACTATATTTAAACCAATCTTAGTAACATTGTTAAGTGACTTCCTCGAATCCCCCTAGTTGAATTTCAGTGTGTATCATTATAACAGTTTTCCAAAACCAATTTTCTGATAAAATTAACTTAATCACTTAACATCTTTCTTTCTTCCTTCCTTCCTTCCTTCCTCTTTCTTTCTTTTCTTTCTTTCTTTCTTTCTTTCTTTCTTTCTATTTTAACTTTAAACACATTAATCTCTAACATTACATATTTCATTCCTAAGCCTATCTGACATTTGCAAGTTTTTCCAATTAAGTTATCTTAACGTATTTAAGTCTTTAAATTTCATCCATTCTTCCTGGTACTCCTCCTCCTTCTGGTCGCGGACTCTTCCAGTCAGGTCGGCTAGCTCCGAAGCTTTGGTTGAGATTCCTGCATTGCAGGGGGTTGGACTAGATGACCCTCGGGGTCCCTTCCAACTCTACTGTTCTATGATTCTATTAAGAAAAACATACACACTCTGTTAGTATTTAGTGATTGATAATTAACTTGCATTAGCTAACACATATGTGTATTGCCAAACATTATTTTCGCAGGACCTCAAGGCTATGTTGTTCAGAAATGCCTTTGCGTCAACTGACCCCCTACTGAAGTCAGCGAAGTTCAATTTCACTAGCAGAATAATTGCAGTCTCTCTCCAGGGATTGAGATACTTGACAAGTGGGGGTCAAAAGGAAGTACGTGGAATGGCCGGATGAGTATTATTATTATTATTACAGGAAGAATAATAACAAAATGATGGAAATCCACTTGTTAAGGTTGTAATCCTGAACCTAACGACTTAACTGTATTTTACTATGCATAAGCGATGGGAAGACTGAGTTCATAATGGGAAAACTGTGTGAGTTCCTTAAGCTGAAATCAAATAACCTATTAACCCAAGTTCGTGAACTCTGGCGCTCCAGTGCCTGGGAGAAACAGCTATCCCCTCCACAAATTCTCCTGATATAGTAAAAGGGCAGTTAAGAAGCTGGGCAGGCTCCCACTCGCTCTGGTAAGATTTGAAGAAAGGACGGGAGATAGGGTTAAAGCACAGAGCCTAGGGCTTGCCGATCAGAAGGTCGGTGGTTCGAATCCCCGTGACGGGGGGGGAGCCCCCGTTGCTCGGTCCATGCTCCTGCCAACCTAGCAGTTCGAAAGCACGTCAAAGTGCAAGTAGATAAATAGGTACCCCTCCGGCGGGAAGGTAAACGGCGTTTCCGTGCGCTGCTCTGGCTCGCCAGAAGCGGCTTATTCATGCTGGCCACATGACCCAGAAGCTGTACGCTGGCTCCCTCGGCCAGTAAAGCGAGATGAGCACCGCAACCCCAGTGTCGTCTGCGACTGGACCTAACGGTCAGGGGTCCCTTTACCTTTACCTTTTATTCACACCTGAAAAACAATGCAACATCCATTAAAAAACAAAAACAAAAAGGGGAAAGTGCATACAGATTTCAAAATAGTTCAAATACAAACAACAACCACCGTGTGAGATCTTGCCTGTCTGTCACAGACACAAAATCTTCCAAACTGCTGAAAATCAACTTTAGAAGCATGTGAAATAAAGCTCCGCCAGGGGGTGTACAAGGTCCGATCTGTTCTAAATTGTATAATTGTAGGGCTTCAGGGCTGGGAGAAACAGGGCTGCATAGATTCCACAAGGATCCTGAGAGTTCCCGCTTCTGTATGTTTATTTGTTGGCTTAAAAAGAGTAGCAGGGAGAGAAGAAAGCCCTCAATGTCAACGAATCATCCTGTGTCTGTGGGGAGTCTGCTACAGCCTTCCAAAATTTCTTATGATCTTTCGTTAGGATGGCTGAAAGTAGCGTATGGCAGCATGCCTGATTATATCTTGTCCGGCTGAGCTGGATAGTTTCCCTGAGTTGTCGGGATCTGAAGAAGTAAATGTCAGGCAATCAAGAGCTGCCCGTCTCTCTGAACTCCTGATAGATTCTCCTAACCTCAGTTTTAATTGCTATGGTTTCTTTGTCAGTCCAATCGCCAATCCCTCTCATCTTAGGTGGCCTAAACGGGTGCAAATGGGACAGTTTCGTTATATAAATATCAATAAATTCCTCAAACCAAGTGGCTCCAACATCAGGGGAAAGTTCACCTTTCTCTTCCCGAGGACAAATGGATCACACAACCAGAATTCACCAAACTTTGGAAAAGAGATAGTGTATGCTCGTTAACTCAATTCCTGAGGGGACGGATTAATTGACTGTTCTGTCTTCCTCGATGGAAAGACAAATTTACAATGTAGAGGGATATGGTCACTGAGCATAGGATCACCGATGTAAAACTCAGCCACTTAGGGCATCATTTTAGTGGGTATCAGAATATAATCCACCACACTATTTCCCTGCGGGGAGATAAAGGTGAAATTCCCAGAGCCTTCCCAATCAGTTAGCCCATTGAGCCATGTCAGGGCCCTAGTAGTGGTCAGCTTAGTGAGTCGCAGACCAGCCAGATTAATTACTGGATTCCGCGATCTATGTTCCCAAAAACAGAAGTCTGGGAGAACGGGCTGTGTATAATGCAAGCTTTTGGTTTCATCAAATGAAGCTCTATGGATTCTGACCATCTTAGGCTGTTAGCTATTTCTGCTAGAAATAAGCGACACGACTAAACGACTAAACAACAACAACAACAAACCGTAATCACAGGTTGATCAATTGCAAGGATTCGGAGGAGAATCATTAAATTTATTTTCACTTTGCCTTCTTCAGTATGGAAAAGAAAGAGTGATGTGGAAGAGATACATAATTTCTGTTTCTGCATCTAAATTATGCAGATTTTCGTCAAACTGTCAAGACAATAGCAAACAGCTCCACCTGGTGGCTTGGCTTTGCCTGATTTTTATTTTTTTTAACTTGCGCTGCATTGCTTAATTGTTTCTTATCTAGAAAACTATTGTTATGTGCACCCCAATCTCTGAACGGTGAGAGATTTCAGGGGTACCAGTGCATGCCTTGGGTATGAAGGTCACTGGAGACTGTGGTGTCTTTGTGATATTTGGTTTTATTTACACACAGATGTAAGCTGAGTTTAAGATGGAAGGGCTCACAGCATTATCCCTCCCTCAGATGCTGGTTACCTGTCAGGTCTGTGGATGTGTAGGCAGGTGGATATTATCTGATGCCATAGCACTGAATTCTCACAAAGAGCGTAATCATGTGTTTCTGTCTTTTCTACTTCCAATTACCAACCCAACCATCCTTTGTTGCACACACACAAACACACACCTTGATGACCTCACGTCCAGGTAAGCCCTTCCTCACTCAGCCTCCAGCTTTTTACTTTTCATGGAACACTTTGGCCCAAGCAATCTCCTAAACACGGAAAGTTGGTCCAGGGATTAGGAGTGGGGCATTCAGTTTAAACTTCCCAAGCCTTGATTAAATTCTAACAGCCGCGGTAACCTTGGAATTTAGGGGAGTCTGACACCCACAATCTCATAACAGTATTATTATTATTATTATTATTATTATTATTATTATATCCTGCCCTTTCTGCCAAAAGAGCCCAGGGTGGCAAGCACATCCACAATAAAACCTTTTTAAAAGCACTCAATTTAGGATTGCCATGACAACGTCTTTCAGCCATCAAATGCCTAGGTAGACAGGATTTCTTTACATTAACTATCCTGAAAGCCAATGAAGGAAGATACACCTCACCAAGGTAGGCATTCCACAAATGCAGAACTGCCAGTGTAAAAATGGTTTATTTCCTCTCTCTGCCCATCAGTATGCAAAGGGTATCACTCTTCGAAAGGCAGTACAGAAAATTGTGCAGCCCTCCAGGAATGGTAAAGTGAACTGGGTGGTTCAAAAGGCAGAGCCTTTTCTGTGGTAGTGCCCTATGGAATTCTCTCCCCAGGCACTTTCCTCTGATGCCAATGTTGTCAGATTCAAAATACAGTATCCTTTCTTCCAAAGCAAATAATGGCAAATAATAAAAACCTGTTATATTTTAACTGCTGTTTACTGTTGCTGCTCTGTGTTTGTTTTTAGGTCACATTAGGTCAGTTCTAATGTGTGTTTTTGCATTGTTTAAATTTGTTTCAAATAAATAATAAGCCAAACCACAAGCCAATTCTGGAGGAAAGGCAGAATAGAATTTTTAAAATGTAAGTAAGCCCGTCAGTAATGCTGGTTAATTGCTTGAGCACCTGTGCTAGCACACTTTACAGAATGAAAGAAATCCACGATACTGGGTCTGTCTTGCTTTTAAATGGCAGGATTTCTAAGCCTTTAACTGGTATGTGGACAAGCAGAAATTTAAGAGGTGAAACTTTCCCTCAGCATGGCTACATCTCCATGTGGCAAGGAGAGGTCATGGAAGGAGGGAAAAGGAAAAGCAAGGTTTAATTATATTGTAAGCTGCCTTGAGCATGGTTTTTACTTGGGGGAGATGGCATACAAATAAAATGATTGACTGCTGTCAGGAAAGGCATTACGTATAGAATTTATGCTGTGATGTTACCAAAGACACAGAAAGTCAGAGGAAAAACAAAATTTCAGCCTTGGTGTCACCAGCAGAATATTCTATTCCAAGAAGAGAAAGGTACTGTATTAAAACTGGAAATCAGATATGAAGAGACAATGAAAAACTGAGGCTATTTGGAAACAGACCTCAATGATCTGATAGGACTGAATTTGCATTGGACTAAAATAGCAGCACCATGGCATTTATGCTAATATTGTTCAGCATAAGTGATTTGAAAAAAAGCTTTTCCTTGCATATAGACACATATCATTGATGTTTGGTTATTTTTAACTGAATGTTAAGAATTTTTTTAACTGAATTGTTTTGATTATATTTTAATTTGTATGCACCTTTGAGTTGGATTTTTTCGCAGAGTATGAATGTCAAAATATTTCTCTCTCTCTCTTTCTCTGTCCGTTTTATCTGTTCTACAGGACTTTATGAACGGTGCCTGGGCGCCTTCTTCGTTCCACGCCCAGCTGTGCAATTCCTTCCCGCTCCCTTAACTGTCGAACTCGCGTTTGCGGCGTCTTCTCGCGAGACCCGGAAGCGGCACGAAGGCTTCCCAGAATCCTTCGCCCTTCCTTTTCCCCGGCGGTAGCTGTGGCTGTAAGGTGAGTTTGATGGCGGCAGCTTTTGGCCTTGGCTGGTATCCGCCGCCGCGGGCCTCCATCCCGGCCCGGGCCCCCAGAAGCCCTCCTTAGATGGAGAAGGGAGGCCAATACCTGTTCGCCCGCCACGGTATTTCCGTTCTTTGGGGCGGGGAAGATTGCAATTCGGGCGCCCGGAAAAGTCCGGGGTAGGGGCGGTAGGGGAAAAAAATGGCCTCTGCAAGCGGCTGGCGATTCTGAAAACCCCGGATGTGGAAGCCTTGCCTTTGGAAATGCAAGTGGGCCGTGGGAGAAACAGATGGGGAGGGAATCAGTTTTATAGGTTTTCTGCAGGTAGGCCTCGTCTTTTCGACTCATGGGTTAAGTGGGAAGGCAAGATGAATTCAGGGATTTAAAAAATAAGAATTTCATAAGTTGTGTGTCTTTGTTTCTTAATTTCATACTTTTACATGGCCTTGTATGCACTGCTGCTTTTGGTGCATTGTGACTTGCTGTTATTTTTTATTGATTATAGCTTATTGTAATTGCTACGGGTGATTTTCTGCTGTATTATTTGCTGGTGCTCAATTTCATTGTGTACTGTTGTATTCCAATGGGTTATTGAATACGACTTTATATGATGCAAGTTGTTTTACGTTACGGCTTTTTTTTGGTATTGGATCGGATTGTTACAAGGTGCGTGGATTCTGCTGTAGACTGTGCTGTTTCTTCAGCTTGTAAGCTGCCTTGAGTATAGTAATGTAGAAAGGCAATATACAAATTAAAAGTGAAATGAAAGTTGGGATTCTCCTCTTTGCCAGCCTGAAAGAAAAAAAGAGCAAGTGTTGCAGATTCATAGGGGAACCACCCCCCCCCCGTGTTTGGGAGGCCACATGGTTGCTTCTAATATGGATGGGCATGTTTTTGAAGGGGTGGTACTGTGGGCTTCTGAAATGCAGCAGGGCCTTTTGCAGTGCAATCCAGGAACACCATACTTATGTGTAATTTGTCACTGCTTTTGGTGGTGGAGGAAGGCAGGGGAGGGTTGTTACTATTTGGGCACCAAGAGAAAGGATTGCAAGCCATCAAGTGTTGTGCTTTATAGTGGGATTGTGCATTTGTTATGTATGTACTTGAAATGGGGCACAATCACTCTTACAGGGCAATAGTATGTCCTTACCTTCTAATAGCACATTATCTTATTTTAATTACACTATAGGGTGACAAATAGCAGGGGGGAAATGAACCTCGAATGTGTATGTATTGCAAAAAGGTGGTTAAGTGGTATATAGTTTGAAAATATTGTTGTAAAAATGGAGGCTGCACTGATGACTATCTTAGGACACCTTTGGATTAAATTATGAAAATAATCACATTCTTCTGAGCAGCTTTTTTCTAACCAGCAATTTGGAGAGTGTGTGTAATTTATGGCTACAATACTGAAAGATATATTTATTTTCCCCCCTCTAGGTAAGCTCTGAAAATGGTCCGCTACTCACTTGATCCGGAGAACCCCACAAAATGTAAGTATTTTTCCTCTGGTACGTGCCTCGTACTTCAGTGATTACCAAAACTTTCAAAATTATCATTTTTTTATCCCTTCTCCCCACAGCATGCAAGTCAAGGGGGTCCAACCTTCGTGTTCATTTTAAGGTATGTGAAATCTTACTTTGACCCCCCCCCCCCCCAAAATAAAAAAATAAAAAAGGAGTGGATGTGGAGCGGACCACACTGTAATTTGATGGAAGCAGAATTCATAGATTATGGTGCTTAATCACAAGATCGTCACATCAGATTTTCTAAACATCACCTGGTCATATACACTTTATTGTAAAGCTTGTTGTGCTACACAAAACAAGTTGTCATTCTCTACGTAACATCCCTCTTTCAAGAATTTGTGGTAATGGGGACTGTACTGGCTACTGTGTTGCCTAGGTACTCAAACTAGCAAGCCACCCTTCCTGGTTCAAAACTAGTGAGGAACAGGGGAATAATAGGCACAGGGTCCTAGTGACTTACAATTTTGGGGTTGGCTGCCAAGGCTAGTCAAATCTCTCTCTCTCTCTCTCTCTCTCTCAATCTCTCTCTGATTTTTAACTGAGTTTTAAACAGAACAGTAAAGCGCTAATAAATCCTGAAACAACAACAAGGTAGCACAAGATTATATAATATATATCAGAAGAATGAAGAGATTACACTTGGTATAGACTCTGTCTTGCGTTGCTTTGGACAGTAGGTAGAAGGCAGTTCACTTTTGTCAGCTTTCTGTAATGTCAAATCTTGCAAAGAGGAGAGCATGATGTTACATTAGAATTTTTTTCTGGAGTTCTGTAACACACACACACACACCCAGCAAATGAATTTTCCATGGTATATAATGTCATAAATAATATCCAGATAGCTCTTAAATAAATCTTGTCTTGATCAGATGGCCTGTTAAGAACATCTGAACAATTAGTACGAAATTCTGATACCATCAAAGGGGATTGATGTTTGTTTCAGGGGTGGTGAAATTAATGTAACTGCAGTGATGACCAACTTAGGACACCTTTGGATTCATAATGAAAACAACTAAGTGGCTCTGAGCAGTTACTTCCCTAGTTAAGCTAGAGTTACTATGCAGGCGTAGACTCTTATTATACAAACAGTGGCTTGGAGCTATGTCTTAAGTAAATGGCACCATAGTTACAGCCTACATACCTAATGGAAAAATAGCCAATAATGCAATTATTATTTCACCCCTTTAGAACACACGTGAGACTGCCCAGGCTATCAAGGGCATGCACATCCGAAAAGCTACCAAGTACTTGAAGGATGTGACCCTAAAGAAGCAGTGTGTTCCCTTCCGTCGTTACAATGGTGGTGTTGGCAGATGTGCCCAGGTATGGATGGATTTGGAGAAAACTGTTAGCAATTTGAGGAAAACTTTTTGAAAGGCAGTGATTTTATTCAGTAGCGTTTGAGGATATCTGTTGTACAAAGAATATCTTGAACATGAAGGCTGGTGAATATTGATGAACATGCGTGGGGAAGTTCATGTGTTAAAAAACTGAAGCCACAATGAGCTGCGAAGAAATTTGTCAGTGACCAGAAAGCGTGTTCTGTACTTGGTACACAGGGAATACATTGTCCCTCTGCTTCAGCAGATCAATTTCGCAGTAACTGGATTGCTAACAGTCACTATGCAAGTCCTTTTGGGGGGCAGAAACTGGAAAATTCTAGGAAAATGGATGTGATACATTACTTGGTGTTTATTGAATCCTTATTTTTCAGTTTGCTATGGGGAATTACATACGAGTGCCTTCAAGTTGTTGGATAGAATCACGTTCTCTTATGCTTGCCTGTGGTTGCTGTGATGACTTTCTTAGGACACCTTTGGATTAACCGTGAAAAGAACGTTTGATTCTGAGCAGCCTCCAAAACAAATCACGTTTAGCATTTTCCTTCAAAAGTATACTCATACTGAACTCTCATCTTGCAGGCCAAGCAGTGGGGCTGGACACAGGGGCGTTGGCCAAAAAAGAGTGCTGAGTTCCTCCTGCACATGCTTAAAAATGCTGAGAGCAATGCTGAGCTCAAGGTAAAATTTCATGTAGCTTGTCATGTTGGGTTAAGTTTCAGTTCTAGTAGTGATCCAAATTTTGAAAAGCAAAGACAAACCTTTGGTTCACTGGGGTTGGTATTGAGGATATGAAGTAGTATTCGGTAAGAGACTAGGGCTATACAGAAGGATTGCTGAAGGTGCAAGATTGGATTCTTGGGTACAGTGTAATGTAACAGAATTTGGTGGCAGTGATGACTATCTTAGGACACCTTTGGAATAACCATGAAACAAACACAAGATTCTGAGCCACTGTAATTACTGGTATTGCTAGTTGACTTTTCAGGTGTGGTTTAGGAAAGTTAGTGATTCACTTTGAACTAGGTAAACCTATTTTGTTATGGGGTTGTAATGAGAACTTTTTATTTTCCCCCACCCGCAGGGTCTGGATGTAGACTCTCTGGTAATTGAGCACATTCAGGTTAACAAAGCTCCCAAAATGCGCAGGCGAACCTACAGGGCTCATGGTCGCATTAACCCCTACATGAGTTCTCCTTGCCACATTGAGATGATCCTCACAGAGAAGGAGCAAATTGTCCCTAAGCCAGAAGAGGAAGTTGCTCAAAAGAAGAAGGTATGAAACTTTTTAAATGAATAAATGTCTACTCAACTGTACAGATAACCAAAATGACACCAAAATAACTAGAATTTGATTTTAATTTTGGCAAGGTAATTTAAAGAGGGGAAACTGTTTAAAGAAGTGATCAGGGCTGTCCTATACATGTTAACTCAGATGTGTTCAGAGGTATAATTTGTGTTTTAGAGTTGCACTCCAATGGTAATTAGGTCAGTTATTTCAAAGCTGTATTTAATACTATTTTCTACAAGTATTTACAAAAGAAAATTCTTGTAGTCAGCAAAACTTTATGTGAAAGTCTGTACAGTGATTGCAAATATTTTAAACTGCTAATATTGTAAGCTGCTATGGAGGATTAAACACAGAAACAAAAAACAGCATATAAGTCTCTTAAATTTAGCTTCTATGTTTATTTTAACTTATTGTCTACCTGTCTATGGGGCTTGAACATAATTATGAAGTCTGTAATGGAAATTGACTGATAGAAGTGTCTTTAATTTTAATGGTCAAGTCAGAGGTAGCCAGTGTTGATGTCTTCCAATTTTTTTGGACTCCCAGCTCCTATCAGCCCCAGCCAGCATGGATAATTGTCTGATGATGGGAGTTGTGGTCCAAAACATCTGGAAGACACAGTGTTTGCTATTGGCTATCTCTAGCATAAGTAGTTGCCCCAAATACTGAGTTTTACCAATGGAAATAATGGTCTGTTATTTGCTTTCTGGTAATTCTTCCTGGAGCTGTGCTTGGTAATAGATAAATACGTTGCAGTGATTCTTACATACAATAATCTCTGGAGTTAAGTTATGGAAACTATACTGTGTGGTAAATGTGTTTTCTAATTGGTTTCAGCATTCAGTGAATGTTTTTGGTCAAGTGATACTAATTTCTTTTGTTTTCTCCCCAGATCTCTCAAAAGAAACTGAAGAAGCAGAAACTCATGGCTCGGGAATAAACATCTATTCAGTTCACAAATAAAAAACAAAATTTTAAGTTAACTGCACATGCTTTTTTATTTATTGTTTTTATTTGCAAATTTAACAAGCAGGAATATTATTTTCTTTATTATATTTTAATAATGATTAGGATTATGATAAAACCCCACCACCACCTCACACTAAGGATACAATAACCACCAATACATCCATCTAAAGTTAAGCATGCAGGTTAATGTAAGCCTTCCAGATGTCCAAATAGGTATATTTTGCTTGAAAAATATTATTCTGAGCGCAGTGATTATTATCAATGGCTTCTCTGTCACATAATATATGTTATTTCTCCCATTTGTTCATTAAACCTGGGTTGAAAGTCAAGCGTGGCTGCTTGCTGTTTAGAAACTGAATACAGTTTCATTTTGTCCTGGTTCTTTGCCCATCATCATAGCCACAAATGAACACTTTTGGTAGTATTGATTCAGTCAGTTAATTCTTTGCATGACATACACGGAGAATGTGACTATAAAAGGAGGAGTTTATATACACAAATGTCTTGTTTAAAAGATGAAAGTAAGACAGACTGCTGGTTGTGAAAAAGTGCTGTGTGTTGCTAATGTTGTAAGTTAATAAAAGTTTCACTTAAATTTCTTTAGGACGAAGCCCTAAATGATTACTCCTTTCAATAAGTAACCCTAACCTGAAAGGCTCAGAAATAGTCAAAATTTATACAGCACCATAGGGAGGTGCAGGTAAACAATGAAAAATTTGTTTCAGTTATGGCTCTCTACTCTTGATTAAAGGCTTAAGTTTGCAATAGGATGTAACAAGCAGCACAATCCTACACACACCACCAGCCCCATAAACCAGTTTGGGGGATTTTAGGATGTGGTTTGAGCTGCCTTGATCCAGCATGCTAACAGAGGGAAAGAGTTGATTATGTAAAAGGCAAAAAGCAAGCAATAGGCATGTTTTTTAGGGAAAGGGGTAAAGTTACATTGCATCTTAAGCTTGCTTTATACACTGAGCCCATTGATGGGGCATGGTGTAATATATACACACCACCAAAATTGTGAATAAAATGCACCCAGCTGATAAAAGTGTAGAAAGTGTCTCCTTTCTCCCCTCTGTGCCCCCCATTAATAAGTAACAGTTAGACTTGCTCCAGGTTTTTTTGCTTTTTAGTGACTTAGGTTGGGTTTTGAGGGAAGTTAGGGATGTGGCAATTGGAAGGTACCCCCACAGGGTTTTTTTAATTAAAAAGTTCTGAATTTTCATTTGACTTTTGTGTCTTTACAACTCATCAAATAGGTTACGTAATTTGTTCCTTACATAAGCTTCAAGCCTCTTTAATAATGTATCCCAAGCTCTCTTTATTTTCCATTTTGCACCAAAGCTGCATCTGCCCTTGTACCATGTACTTCCCAGCCTTTCTCCATGACCAGAAAAGCTGAATTTCTGCAACATCTCTGTTTAAAATAATCTGAATTTGCCAGCTTGTGATTATATAAAAGCTCCTGTGAGCAATGGCTTCCAATATAAAATCATAAAATGAAGAGCATGCATATTTCACATACTGTGTCTCTTAAGGATAGGAACTTTAAAGAAAGGCTATCCTAATAACAGAGGTGAACCGCCCTAAGACCTGTAGGTATAGAGCAGTATATAAATTCAATAATAAATAAATAAATGCCTATGAAAAATGGCGTGTCTTTAGTGGTGACATGACAGGCAGAAAGTCAATGCATGAAATGTTTCCCATTGCTACCGTTTTGTAATGACAAGCTGCATCGGTTGATTATCTCTATTTTGCAACTCAGAAAATGATATCATGCCCAATAACGTCTGATCCTATAGCAGTTTAAAGATTCAGTGATGTGCCTAATTAGATTTTGAACAGAACTCTGTTCTGCAGCATGCCAACTAATAAAACAGCTCTGCTGGAAGAAGTATTACTTGTCATTGAGGCAACACAGATTTCATACGAATACAGTCATTCTTTGGGATCGCAGAATTATTATATTATGAAATTTATATACTGCCCTTAATCTTGAGGATCACAGGGTGCTTTACAGTAAAAAACAAAATACATACGTATAATAAACTAAACAATATCCCTCCCCCCCCCCAGCTTAAAAGGCCATGGAGAAGAGGAATGTTTGCCTGGCTCTCAAAGATATTTAAAACTACAAACTCTGTAAACATCTGGCTGTGCTTTCGGAAATAAAAATGTCTTCAGCAAGTGCAGAAAGAAACACAGTGAAGCTGCCTGCCTGATATCAACCGGCAGGGAATTCCAAAGTATCAGTGCTGCCCCAATTCCACTGACGAAGACCTTTCTCCCGCCAGCAATTGTGTTGCGGCATCTTGCATCGACTGCATGCCTGCAAGGGAAACTCAACGGAGAACGCATTGCAGTAATCTAGCCCTAATGCAGGCTTCCTCAACCTTGGTCCTCCAGATGTTTTGGGACTACAACTCCCGTGATCCCTAGGTAGCGGGACCAGTGGTCAGGGATGATGGGATTTGTAGTCTCAAAACATCTGGAGGGCCGAGGTTGAGGAATGCAACGAGCGAGCCCATGATGTGCTGCAACCAGGCTTTGTCCATGGAGTTTTCTTGGCAGGGATACTGGAGTGGCTTGCCGGTTCCTACTCCAGGTGGATCACGTTTGGGCAAAACTCTCCACTATGACCTGTCCATCTTGGGTGGCCCTGCACGGCATAGATCATAGCTTCTCTGAGTTATTCAAGCCCCTTCACCACGGCAAGGCAGTGATCCATGAAGGGGGGGTGGGGAGAGACATCACCTTGCCAACAAAGGTCCGTATAGTTAAAGCTATGGTTTTCCCAGTAGTGATGTATGGAAGTGAGAGCTGGACCATAAAGAAGGCTGATCGCCAGAGAATTGATGCTTTTGAATTATGGTGCTGGAAGAGATTCTTGAGAGTCCCATGGACTGCAAGAAGATCAGTCCTAACCATTCTTAAGGAAATCAGCCCTGAGTGCTCACTGAAAGGACAGATCCTGAAGCTGAGGCTCCAATACTTTGGCCACCTCATGAAAAGAGAAGACTCCCTGGAAAAGACCCTGATGCTGGGAAAGATGGACGGCAGAAGGAGAAGGGGACGACAGAGGACGAGATGGCTGGACAGTGTTCTTGAAGGAACTAACATGAGTTTGACCAAACTGCGGGAGGCAGTGGAAGACAGGAGTGCCTGGCATGCTCTGGTCCAGGGGGTCACGAAGAGTCGGACACGACTAAACGACTAAACAACAACAAAGCCAGGCTTTCCTGGTCCACAGAGCGTGTTGCAGTAGCAATCCAACCAGCAATACAGTGGTACCTCAGGTTACATACGCTTCAGGTTACAGACTCCACTAACCCAGAAATAGTGCTTCAGGTTAAGAACTTTGCTTCAGGATGAGAACAAAAATTGTGCTCCGGTGGCGCGGCGGCAGCAGGAGGCCCCATTAGCTAAAGTGGTGCTTCAGGTTAAGAACAGTTTCAGGTTAATAACGGATCTCCGGGATGAATTAAGTACTTAACCCGAAGTACCACTGTACTGTATAAGGAGAGGGAGGGGCGGGGCTTCGCGGAGAAATGGGGCTTCGGTCACACCCCACTCTGCCTCTAGTGTCATGGCCCCCTCGGTGGAACGTAAGGCGGGAGCGCGCGACGTCAGCGCACCACGTACCTTCCCCATTGGAGCTTTCGGAGTGACGTCGCGTTCCTTTCCCGGAAGTGAAGAGCTCCCTCGGCCGGCACTCAGTTGGACGTTGGAGATCCGCGCAGGTAGGTCGGTTCGATGTCGGCGCTGGACGCGGCTCTCGCGGGCGGGCAAGGTGGGAAGGAGGCGGCCACTGGTTTTTCCCTTTCCTGCCGTCCTCTCCTTTCTTCTCCTCCCTTAAACGTCCCGGTTTTCTTAAATTGAAAACAAGTAGCTCATTTGCATATGCTAATTCGCTTATTGATTTTTAATTGGTTGCCTTCAATCGAGTGAGTGCCGTCGTTTCCTCTCTCTATAAGGACAGGCTTTCTATTTTTTAATTAAAAAAAGAAAACAGCGGTAAGAAAAATACAGCGCGAGTGTTGGTTTTGGAACGACCCCCTTCTGTGAAAATACTTAACTGATTGATTTAGTGTTCATATACTGTACAGTGCGCCGCTTGATTGAAAAACCAGAACAACAGTAGCTCAAAATGGTTTGCGAAAAAGGTAAAACAAGAAAAATCCAGGAGAAATTCGCAGACCTCCTTTGAAGAACAAAGGTTAAAATAATGAAACATTAAAAAAATCAACTCAGCTGTCTAAGCATCTGGGTAGGCTTGTCAAAACAAGAACGTTTTCAGCATTAAAAAAACGTGCAGGTAGGGGAAAATGTGTTTATTTGCAGTACCTGAGTACTGTCCAATAACTGCATCCTCTGGGCTTTGAACCTTAGGACTTACAAGGCATGTTTTCATTTTTATGCAAGCAGACAAATATTTCTAAGAGAAACAGATGATTAAAAAATTGTCATTTGTGTGTTTTGGCAGATCTCTCCCCAGGCCTGTAAACTAACTTCAAGGTCTTCTACCTCCACTATAGTAAAAGCTGTACCTGTGTGTTTGTTTAAGCTTTGAATTATAAACGTAGTAGGTATGTTCTTGGCTGATTTGTCTGTTTATGGATAGGTTCACTAATTCAGGCCACAGTGTCAGTACCCTCTTTGAAAGCGAGTCCCTTTGAACAAATTGGGACTTAATTTAGAACAAACAACATGCATTGCAGGTCATTCTTCTTAACTAAATAAAACAAATATGTTCTAGTATTTTGCAACAGCAAAATCCTAACCTTACTTACCTGGGAGTAAGTCCCATTTAATTCAGTGGGATTTTTAAAATATGTGATTTTTGTATCATTAGCGAAAACCTGTGGGCAGATCAAACCTGCTGAGGTAGGGTGGGGGTTTAGGAAGAATATTTGTTGGAGGAAGCACACCAAATCTAGATTGCTGCTGGGCTTTTTCCTTCTGGAAAACTCTGGTAAAAAAGTGCAAAGTAGTATTCTGCTGAGTGAACACTTAACCCAAAAGGGCAGAGGGTCTCCCAGAACCCACCTTCTTGGTCCATTTGGAGAGCAACACCTGTTTGCTTCACTCTAAGAACAATATTTTTGCTTTATCAATAATATATTATTGTAATTTAGATTATTGGTTTGGAGTTGCCAGCTCTATGAGACAACTTAATGGTAAGCTGCCTGCTAGATGAGCCAACTACTTGCTGTGCCTTCTCTCAGGTTTCTGTTGCTTAACACCCACAGACCTTTTCCTGCTAAGTCCTCATTTAATTTGTCCTGAAAAGTTTGCTTTCACAGTAACAAGTTCTGAAATTTCCCTGAGTCTACTGAGCAGGAAATCCTGTTTAAAATCCCATGAGATGAATAGGCTGTGCTTAACCCGAGTCCTTCTCATTTTGGCAGTCTACCTGATCCAGTTCTGCAACTGGTCCAGTGGACATCTCAGTGACATCATTGCGTAGATCGATCAAAGCTTTCTTTTTGGTTAGCTAATCATTTGCACCATTTCCCCCAGTAGGCCCTTTCTCCTTCCCTCCACCTCACCCCTGAGAGCACCACATTGCACTCCTTCTGTCTGGGATGGTCGTCCTCTTCCACCGAGCGCGGTTTCAGCATTCAGGGCTACAAGAAGTTCTGTGAGGAATAATTTAAGAAATATTGTAAAAATGGAAAGGGAGGAATGATTTGTTAGAAAATGTAAAGGCAATATTAAGTTAGGAATTGCAGGAGAAATAACTAAGACGGAGGATTATCAGAAGTGCTGAAGGAAGTCCAAATAAGGATATGTGTGTAATAATTTGTGCGGTATGTCTTTAAAATTTTGTATGCTAAAAATTAATAAAAAATATTTATAAAAAAAAGAGCACCACATTGCAGTACTAGGGCCACATTCCCAGATCCATTTATTTTCATATGAAGAAAAAGCCCCGTGTGTTGCTTTCCTATTTGTTCCCCACCGTTCTTTACTGCCTGCTAACAAAACCGAACTGCCGGGAAAAGAGAATGCAGTATTTACGGACTCGTTCCATGCCAAATTGTGTTGATTGTGCAGTTCTGTACTTTGTTTGTTTGCTTGGAAGTATGTCCCACTGAGTTGAGTGTGCACAGGACTGAATGTGCACAGGACTGGAGTTTTAAGCTCCTTGCAAGGTGCAGGGGCCACTGAATATGTTCCCCATTTGCTAATTTTTTCCCTTCTATGTTTAAGCCTTCCAGCACATTTCTGCCGCAGGAACTGAAAAGAACAATGGTGTGCATTCCCTGTATAGTCATTCCCGTTCTGCTGTGGGTCTATAAAAGGTTCCTTGAGCCGTATCTGTATCCCATCATCTCACCTTTCATCAAGCGCATTTGGCCAAAGAGAGCAGTGCAGGAAACAGCAAAGAAAGACCAAAAAGGCAGCACTGAAAATAGGCGTGAGTTGTACGACTCCATGGATGATTCTAAAGTAAGCATTGGCAAAACTCTTTATGTATGTGCATTGTGTGTATACACCATATGAAGGACAAGTTGATCATGTGGTTCTGCTAGCTGAAAACATTTCTAGGACACCAGTTTCTAGGATGCTTCATTCTAGATCGTACAGCAGAAACAGCTGCTGATCTGTTTTCTATACCACAGCTGTAGCCATGCATTCCCTGGTGGGAACTTCTGTGTCGCAGAACAGTAATGGAAAGTAAATATACCATTCATTTTGAAGTTAAAACTTGTTGTCTCGGTCAAAATTTAAAACTTGTTGCCTCAAAGGTTCTAATGTTTTGAACATGTAAACAGGTAAAGGACCCCTGACAGTTAAGTCTAGTCGCGAACGACTCTGGGGTTGCGGCGTTCATCTCACTTTACTGGCCAAGGGAGCCAATGTTTGTCTGCAGACAGTTTTTCCGGGTCATGTGGTCAGCATGACTAAGCCGCTTCTGGGGAAACCAGAGCAGCGCACGGAAACGCTGTTTACCTTCCCACCAGGGTGGTACCTATTTATCTACTTGCACTTTGACGTGCATTTGAACTGCTAGGTTGGCAGGAGCAGCGACCGAGCAACGGGAGCACACCCCATCGCGGGGATTCAAACCGCCGACCTTCCAATCGGCAAGCCCTAGGCTCAGTGGCTTTAGACCACAGCGCTACCCACGTCCCTCTGAACATGTATTTAAATGTATTTTCTCTGTGTGTGTGTTTCAGACTGAAAGCAACGGCATCGCAAATGGATTTGCTGAAAGTGGTCCACCAGGGGTTTCTGAGAAAAAGACTGATTAAGTAAGCTTGTGCTGTGGGATCGTGGTTGCTTTAGGAAAATGAGCTGATGATGCTGTTCCCACCTGGAAATTTAATTGCACTTTTTTTCTGAAAGAAAACTTGGAATCTGCATACACACAGGCAGACACCTAGGAAAATTTAGGATGCTATTTTCTTTGTAGCTGAAAAAGATTTAACATGTTGTCTTGCTCTGCTTGACATTCTCAGTACAGGAGAACCTTTTCCAATGCAGTGCAGTTTATGGTGTTAGCTTTTTAGGCTCCAGTTTTTTACACTGCTGTGTAACTGTCAAAATTGTGACTTGTTTCAAAGAACCTCCTGGAACTCAACTTCCACACAACTTCTTATATGCTTGCCTTTAAAAAGCTAGATGACTTATGTATTATAGCTGAAGAGAACAGCACTGTAAATACTCAGACACTAATAATAAATATTAATAGCTGTTCACTCACTTTTTCTCAACCCATCCCTGCAAAACTATGCGTTGTTTGGCATTCCTCCTGATTTTGCAGATACGATGAAGCAAACTTTGTGTGAGTAGACACGATCATAGGGGCGGTAGCCCTGATATGGGAAATATAATAGTATTCCCTGCCATTAATTAAGACCAGGCAATTTGCCCTTATTTCTGAAGGTGGAAAAAGAATGTTTTTCTTAAAATAATAACAATATAAAAATAGATCTGTGTGCAAACTGCTGTATTTTGGTTGGCAACGTTGACATTGGATTCAGAATTACTCTAAATAAAATATAAAGGTTTTGCTTTTACAACTGAAGGCTGGCATTCTTAATAAAACATGTTTCCTATGCTCATGGATCTAGTTTTGCCCTTCCGTTCTTAGAGTTGTGCGAATGGGAGATCGGGGACTTAATGACCCAAGTCAAGAGAACCAAAGAGTCGGATTGCAACTACAATGCACCATAAAAATAAAAACGGAAATAGTTATATTACTGGGGGGCAGCAAGAGGCAGGCAAGATGGGCTTTAGATGGCTTCTCCTTAAGTGGCTCCTGCAAAAGGCCATATGGGTGTTCCTCTTGAGTCTGGCAGACACGGGCTCAAATCCTAATTTGGCCCTGAATCCATAAATCAGGATTGACTAACCTTTGGCCTGCCATATGTTGTTGGACTAAAATTCCCATCATACCTGACCGTTGGCCATGTTTGGTAGAGCTGATGGGAGCCGTGGTCCAACAACATCTGGAGCAACATCGGTTTCCCATCCCTGCTCTAATGGGTAAGGTTGGCATCAGCAGAGAAACAGTATGTTCACTGTTGCTGATTTTCTCCACAATGCAGAGTTATCCAAGAGGGTGTTAGGTGTGTTCCGGAGCCTGTATTTGAGCTACGTGAAATAACAGCAGTGCTAGAATAGTTCTGGGCATGGACTTGAGAGGGGGTTTTAGAACATGTTCCAGATTTCTCTGCAGTGTGTAGAAATTTCTCAGCAGACTGAAGTGGAAAGGGGGTACTCAAATCTGTATTTTGCTCCCTGTGTTGTGTATTAAGGAGATGAGGATTGAAGCCCTTTGCCCAGTAAGGAGGTAATAGTGTATTCGGTTTTTGCACGAGTCAATAGGTTCAGAATTGCAGTCTTAAATTCTGCAAGTAAAGGCCTTCCTTTCTCTTTTGGTAAAGTAAAAGTTGTTTCCTTTATGCAACCAAATTAAGCCCTCTATTTTGGTTTCTGAAAAGGTTAGGAGGGACTAAATTACACAGCTCTGGCTGGACAATTCTTTCAACGTATATTTATGTGATTTGCTGTAAGCACAAATGAGAGTTCAGTAGGCCCTTCGAATAGGGATTGAGAGGTGGCAGGCAAAATACCGGTGTGAGAGTTTGATAACTTGTCACATGCACACTATAGCCCATGCTGGAATTGAAAAAGTGTTTGGTCTCATACAGGGGTTGAGTAAAATGGAACTGAGACCCAGGAAGGAATGAGAAGGTCTTCAGAGTATATGCCATTTTGTAAGCGCAAGTCAAAGATGTTCTAACATAATTCCACACAGCTTCCATACTGGAGAAGGAGGTGGGCTTTTTGAGGGGGTGTATGTGTGTGTTGAATCAGCCTCTGAAGGTGGCAACTGGACCTCTGAAGCAGCTGCAAGCTCAGATTGTGAAGTGGGGACCCTTCCAACAAAATGTTCTTCCATGAAGTGAGCTCATATTGGATCCAAGTAACAGCCAGAGGGGAGGGGAGAGGGCCTGTGTGAAAATGAAAGGAAGGCCTGAGCTTTCCCAGTGCCTGGAGTAGCTCTTGCAGGTCTCATTTAAATCCCCAATCAGACCACGATCTGGATACTTGGGCTGCAATTCCAAAACATGGTATTTATTAAAGCTTGCATATCCCACCTTTTGTGCCACGAGCGCTCCAAGGTGGCTAATGAGCGTAACGAGAGTCAAATAAGCAACAGAACAACACCAAAAGCAGCAAGGAGAAGGCCAGCATCACGGCTAAGAAGATAGAGATCTGTTCCTTACTCCAAGGGCTTCAGAAGGTCAAGCAACAACACTGTCTGCCTGGTGACAGAAGGCTTGACAGAAAAGGACTGAAATAAGTATCCTTCGGAAACAGAATTCAGCTGGTAAGAGAGTTACTACTATTTCTGTACTGTCTGCCCAGTTGTTCAAGTGCTGGTGACTTCCAGATTACTGCAATGTCACCTGGAAACTGCAGGTAGTGTGAAATGTGGCAAGTTGGCTGCTCATTGGAGCCAAATATCCCCATCGTGTTATGCTACTGCTAAAAGAATTGCACATGCTGCCACTTAGGTACTGGGTTCAGCTCACGGTGCTAGTACTGGTGCATGAAGTCCTACATGAGTTGGGACTAAGACAGCTAAAAGAACATCTTGCCCTTTATATACCTAATGTATCACTGTACTTAGCAAAGAAAGGGCCCACTGCAGATGAACCTTCTCATCAAGAGGTCCATTCCGTACAATGTTGGATTTGGACCTTGACTGTGGTGGCCCCTCTGCTTTGGAACTCCTTCCTGTTCCTGCATATCAGGCGCTGCCTCTCTTGTCTTTTCAGTGCGTTTTCTCTTTCACCAAACCTACGAAGGTTAGATCTTTATCTCGGTGTCAGCCTTGGATTTGAAATTGTGTGTGTCTGTGTGTATACATGCAGTTGTTTTACATATGTTTTTGTGATACAGTCAGACCTCGGCTCCTGAATACCTCCGTTTCAGAACGTTTCGGTTTCCGAACACCAAAAACCCAGAAGTAAATGCTCCAGTTTTCGAACGTTTTTTGGAAGCCGAACATCCGACGCGGCTTCTGCTTAAGTGAAGGAAGCTCCTGCAACCAATCAGAAGCTGCGCCTCAGTTGTCGAACATTTTGGAAGCCGAACGGACTTCTGGAACGGATTACGTTCGGCAACCGAGGTTTGACTGTATTGTGAAATGCTTCATAGGAAAAGATTCATAACTAGCAATAGTATTAATACTATGTTTAGGATCAGTTACTGAAACTACCATCATGAAACTAACCTTTGCTCATAAGCAAGAATCTCAGAATTTGTTTGTTGATTAGCATTCTCAACTTCAGAGATGGGTGACAGTGTGGACAGATGCATCCTTTTATGACAGGACTGGCATGAAGGTAATATTGAGAGTATAGTTTTTAATTAAGTCTAGTTGATGCAATTGCCTTTTTTGGGTAGACTTGGCCCATTGTCAACATTTTGTTACAAACTGGTAGCAGCAGTAGCACGTTCTTCACAAACCGCAGCTGCTGTTTTTCTTTCCTTTTTGCATACGATTAAAATTTGACTACTTTAATATTTAGAATAGTTCTGTTCCCACCCAGAGGCTATTTTGATTATCTCATAAAAAAGGGCAGAATTATTCATGTCTTGGTTTAATTTAATTTTCCCTTAATGTAGCCATTTGAATTAATGGAAACTTGATAAAACTGTAAGATGCAGGGTAAAAGGCACAGAATTATTAAGTATGCTGAAGCTCAGAACAAAGTGCTATACTTAATAAGGCTTGTGATCTATCTTGACACTTACATTCAGGCCTTTCAGACTCAGCTGCAGAAAATTACAAAAACTAAGTCTAGAATGGACTACAAGATTCCTGTGTATGGAAACTTTTTATGTGCATTAGATCACATCATTGATCTAAAAATAAATGCTAAATAGTGTTTAAAACAGAATTTAATGAGGGGGTTCTGTTGTTACCTGGACTTCTGATGTTTCCTTCATGGTGCAGAAGAACCTAGCTCTCCAAAGCTAGGAGTGTCTGCAGTGCACTTAGAGGCCCATCCTACTACATCTTTTCCTGAAAGTAAATCTCACTATGATGTTGATTTTAATATACTGTACATGAAAAATCCAGGATAAGTCACTGCACCCCACTGCCACCAAGGAGTCGCTCAAGAATCATACAAATATAGAAGCTCACATAAAGACAATTATCCAAGTAGATAAGTAGAAACCATCAGATTGCCACTTAACAGGAACCTAAACATCTGGCAGTGTACAAAAAACCAGGAAGAAATGGCACAGGGATGGCATCATTGTGGCGGTATATTTCCCATCAGGGAAAAAGGTGAGGTATAAATAAATATTTATTTATTTAACAACATTTATACTTTTCTTTATTGTAAAAAGCAACCACCATCAAAGCGGCTTATAAAAAGATAAAAACGGGGGGGGGTGACAATACGCTAAAGCCTGACAAGTTGTAAAAATACTGAAACCGATTAAAATTCACACCAGCATTTCTAAGCAAACAAGCACGCCTTTAGCAGGCTCTCAAAACAAAACAGCGGAAGTGCCTGTTTGAATTATCAAGAGGCAGGGAGTTCCACAGCGTAGGTGGCGGCCGCAGCATCCCCTCCTAGAGTCGCCTGCGTAGAGTCCGTCTTCGGGTTGGGACTACATCTCCCAGCATACACTTCGGTCGCCTCAAAGCCCGCTTTCGCTTCTTCGCCGCTTTGCAAAACGAAGCGGGCGGGGGCGGGGCGGAACTCTGGGAGAGGCGTGGCAAGCGCACGTGACCGATTCCGTCTCTTCCCCCCCCCCCCGCTTCTCTCAGGCGACGGCTGCGACGACGTGGAAAGATGGAGGCGGTTTGAGTTCCGAGCGGCTGGCTGACTGAAAGGTTCGCTCGCGGGCGCGCGCGCGCCCGACTGCGTACGTAGCCCGCCCCCTCCCACAAATGTAGAAGAGGCGGGGCCGCGCTTTCTCTCTCCCCCCTCACGCGAGCGAGCCGCGGAGGCGCGCAAGCAAAGAGTCCCTGAGGAGAATCCCGCGGGGCGCCGGAGGGGAGCGTCAGGTTCCGTTCCCGCACTCCCCCTACCGACTCAGCCCACCCCTTTCTCGGAGCCCGGAGCCCGGTGAGTCGCGGCCGCCTCCTCCTCCCTCAGCTTCATGCAGGGCTTCCCTGCTTAGCATCCCCTCTCTGAGGCCGGGAGGGACGGGAGGACAGCCCTTCGTGTGTCGCAGGGATGAGGGGAGGGGCCCCTTTTTGTAGCCATGACAGTTGGTGGGGAGGTCAGGTGAGTTTGGGGGCACGAGGGGTCAGGGGGGGAGGGGAGAGAGGTGGCTTATTTATATAGTTATATGCTGCTATATAGATAGACATTTGCCTCTACAGTGGATCCCAACCTTGGGGGGGGGGGGCTGTGCCCCACCTAAGCATCTCTAAAATCCTGATCCCCACCCCCAGTGCCAAATTTACATATAAGCTAAAACAAGCTGTAGCTTAGGCCCCCACACTCTTGAGGGCCCCAGAAAAAATTAACCGGGGGAAAAAGTGTTTCTAAAGGAACTTTTGTTATTGCCAAATGTCAATGTGTTTGCATTATTAATAAAATAATAATAATAATAATAACGTTTTATTTATATCCCGCCCTCCCCAGCCAAAGCCGGGCTCAGAGCGGCTAACAACAGTAAAATGATACAACATTCTAAACAATCATTTCATTATAAAGTTTGTTATGAATAAAAAATCATTTTAAGTTAGAGCTTAATAATTATTTCACTCTTAATATACTTCTTAATTATATTTCAGTTCAACAATGCTTTGATAAAATACATATTTTGTTATGTGCAAATGGCTTTAGATACCCATTAGGTCCATAAATGACCATATAACATATATTCAACACACAAAACAGTGACAATTTGTTGTTGACAAAGGACAGCTGGACATATAAAGGGCCCCATTACCTTCAGTAGCTTAGGGCCTCATCAAATCTAAATCCGGCCCTGATGCTCCCTCTGTGACATACAATTCTTATTATTCAAAAAGTGAACTATGCACGTGGAGGAAGCCTAATAAGCCATTAACTGATAATAAGTCATTCTCGAATTGCCCCCACCCCCAAAATCAAACTGCCCCACATTGGGAAACATGGCTCTCTACAGGAAGTAATGTAAATAAGAAGAAGAAATGCACAGTTGAAAATGAGCAATTCAACATTTAAAGGCTGGAAACATGCCTGCAGCTGCGTGCCTAAAGAAGGCTGTAGTTTTAAGGGATAGCTCGGTCGATAAAGCACGGGGCACTGTCGCTCTGAATCTCAGAGTTGTGGGTCGAGCCCCATGTTGGGCAAAATATTCCTGTGCTGAAGGGGGTTGGACTAGATGACACTTGTGGTCCCTCACAACTCTACAACAGGTGTGAATTTAGGGCAGCGTGACTGGTTCCGCCGTTGCATTGAGTGCTGAGCCTAGTGGGCGCTGCTATGACATAGTGAATTGAGAGGCAGGGGAATGCTGAGTTTTTGACTCTCACAGGACGCTGCTGAAATTTGAAAGACCAAACCCTGCCCCTGTCTACAATTTCTATGGATTGGTGCTGAGGAATCATAGAATTGTAGAGTTGGAAGGGACCACTAGGATCATCTAGTCCAACCCCCCTGCAGTGCGGGAATATTTTGAACCCACGGCCCTGAGATTAAGAGTCTCATGCTCTACCAACTAAGCTATCCCAGAACTTCTGATGGCGGTGATGGCTAGGGGATACCCAACTCAAGAAGGGGAACTGGATAAGTTTCCCCTGCACACACAGATATACCTCCTCCCACTTTATATAGTGCACACAGCATGTTTCTCTCACACACTGATAGTCTTATGCAGGCTTACTCAGGAGTGAGGTCCTCCAGTGTTAAGTGAGTCTAGCTCTTGGGTAAATGTGCACCGGCTTGTGTCCTGTGTTAATCTAGAGTAAATTACCCCCTTAGTTTTGTAGCCTTCTCTTGTATGATTCTTTGCTTTAGAAAGAAGAAGTACCTGTTTTTCTAACCACTCTTATTGTAAATATAACAAGGTGGTTAAATAGACTATATCTGTACTACCTGCTATTGAGGCATCCATCTGGGTAGCTAGAGCATTTTTTTTAAAAAAAATTATTCCCTTTGTCAGCTTTAACATGTATATGAGCAAGGTGAGTGGTGGGTTAATTAATAGGGAGTGCAGTCAGTTCGTTTGCTTTTTTAAAGTATACCTCATTTCTTTCACCGTGAAGGGCAAGCATAAATGGTGTTCTTAGGTGGTTGCCCATCCAGGCACTAGCTAAACTGCAGAGTGCAGACCTAGCAGTTCAAGAGCACACCAGGTGCTCTGTCGGGAAGGTAAACGGCGTTTCTGTGTGCTCTGGCTTCCGTCACGGTGTTCCGTTGCACCTGAAGCGGTTTAGTCATGCTGACCACATGACTCGGACAGCTGGCCACATGCTGGCTCCCTCAGCCTGAAAGTGAGATGAGTGCCGTACTCCATAGTCGCATTTGACTGGACTTAACCGTCCAGACAGAAACCTGTTTTGCTTCAGCAAGGTATCTCCTTCAGGTACCTTCTGACCATACCTTGGGTGTGTCCTTGATTATGCCTGGCAGTAAGTTTTGAACTTGCCAGTACTGAATTTCAATGATAAATTCCTGTAAGTAAGAGCATACATGCAGGGCATGGTACTGTGATCTAGCATAATTGTAGAAATGTTTATGAGGCAGAGAAAATGGGGCTGATCGCAAACTGCTTTCTTTTGAAAATTAATGGTATCAATGACAGTTGGTTCATTGCTAAATCTGTAGTCTGAGTAAGGTAGGGAGTGTGGACCTAGGGGTAAACCTTATTGAGGTGTGCTGGTGCCAAATATGATGAAGTTTGCCAGTTTTTCAAATGCTGCTTCCTCATCACAATATGCAGTTAAATGGAAAAGCATCAGTCTGGAGATGGAGGCTGGTATAACAACTCCTAAAATAGAATAACTGCTATTGGGATCATAATCTTGATTTATGGTAATTTTTCTCACGCATCCCACTTGCAGATGAAAATAGACCTTCATGACATTGTGTTCCTTAGACATGGGTGTGCAAAACCTAGTTTCCAATCCTAGTTGTAGAAAGGTTTGCTTAACTGCAGTTAACATTGCTACCAGCGTAAAGTTTAACCATGATTAGGTTTAGACCATGTCTAAAAATATTGTAACATTTCAGGTTATTCTATTTTCACCTAGGTGTATTGATGTGAAGGGCAATGGGTGTAGAAGTGCTAATCACATAACCACACTCCTTAGTATTTCCTTGCCTGAGTAAGATACATCTCATTCTATGGTCTGCTTGGGTTATGACCTGTGTTCCAGCTATCTTATTTTACAGCTTCTGTTCCAGATAACCTTACAGAGCCATCATACTGATAAGAACAGACCGTTACTTACTGTGACTCTAAAAGTGAATGGATTCAGAGTGGTGTTCTAGAGCACTGTTCATGTTAAAGTTCTGTTGTCTATAGTGTGCTTGATATGACAGAAGAAGAGACTGCAAGACACATTTGCAGCGACGTTTGGTCTTGGAGCTTAGGTTCTTGACCTTGGGCCAGACTTAGTCTCTCAACATCACCTATTTACTAGGACAGTTGTGAGAATGTGTGCAAAATATTCCACCATATATATTCCCCTGAGTATCCAGGAGGAAGGGCATTTTGTAAACATGGTAAATTATGAGAGAGAAACTATGACCATTCTATACAAAGTTCTTGAATTTCCAGCACCACCACAGTAGAAAAGTTCCAGTTATGGTGATACAGTTGTTACTGGATTTGGGATTTCAGTGCTTTGTAGACAATGAACACATTGTGAGTTGTGTATATGGAATGGTCATTGTACGCAGCCTGTACACTAAGTAAGGAGCATCAAAATTTACCTACTGTTTTAGAACTGGTGTATACTGGGGTGAATGTCCACTGCAAACTGTATTATTTGCCTCAGTCTTTCCTTCCTGGTGGGTGGTTATTCTGAGATTTTGCACTTGTGCTTGTATTTGCTTCTTTCAAAATGTTTACTACGCCAGTGCTTGTCCCCACAGTGTTTCCTCAGAGACTTAAGCAGTGTTAGAAACTCAGATGTGTAAGCTAATCAGCAAATGGCATCTTAAGCCTAAGTTACAGTCGCCACAACAGTATGTCTAGGCACCTTTATATTTTTTGCAATGATATTTTAAAATTATCATCATCATTATTCATTTTCATTTCTATACTGCTTTATATTTTGAAGAAAAAACATCTCAAAGTGGTTCACAACACATTAGAACATCAAATAAAACAATCCAGGATTAAAACAAATGAAAGCTTCAAGGAAAATATTTCAGATCCTTCTCCAAGTGACATTTTGCTTTCCCCATATTTGTTCAACTAGTTAATATATATAGCTGCCCCCATAGTAGAAGAACTCTAGGAAGCCAGTGTGGTGTAGTGGTTAGTGTGTCAGATAGGAACTGGGAGATCAGGGTTCAAATCCCCACTCTTGTCATGAAGCTCACTGGGTGACAGTCAGTCACAGCCTCTTAACCTACCTCACAGGGCCGTTGTAGGGATTAACTGGTGAGGCGGGTGAGCCATGTACCCATTGGAGAAAAAGGTGGGGTATAAATGCAATAAATAAGCTCTTCTGCTTAAAAGCTGATGGGGCCAGCCCGATGGAGATGTCAGGTGTCATCCTGGCATCCAGAAATGCCCATGTGGTCGCAATTGGACCCATCCCAGTAGCAAAACACACCTGGACATAAGATATCCTGGTAAGGTGGCTGTCTTGCAACTTTCTTTTTCTGAAGAGTAAAGCTCTTTCTGTAGAATAAGATCATAAAGAACCATTTTCAGTTTGAGAGTGCTTCGTAATGTTTCTGAGTACTGTAGTCTTTTTTGTGCCTTTTCTAGTTTTGTAGTTTACTAGCAATGTGATTGAGCAGATAGTGATATCTATTTCCAGTTCTTTTCTACATCCAGATTACTTTATTGTACACATTCTCAGCAGGGAAAGGAAACAGTTTAATACATCTTAAATACACTTTTCCTGAACAGTTTGTATAAACTTGCTGAATACTTGTATCCGGTACTAGTTCATAAAATACTCAAAGCATACACTTGCTCATTATGGAGGCATACTGTGTATATGGTGTCCTGTAGCACTATGGTAATATGACTACGTAATTCACAATTTCTGTTCAGGCTCCCAGTAACTTGGTAGCTTATATTTCCATTGTCGCTCACGGTGCTCTTAATAGGTTATCTTGCTAGCTCAATTGCAGATAGCAGAACTAACAGTTTATTGCCAAAGGCCAGCTGGTAAAATGTGTATACCACTGTGAAAGGCTTTACAATTTCTGCATTTTTGTATCCTGAGGTACTCTTCATAGTTTTTTAATTTGGCAGAGAAGATTTGATGGTGTGTATTGCCTTTTCCTCTAGGGCTATATATGCTACGGTGAGCTTGACTCTCTGAGTCTGTGATGGTCTTCTAATTGCTTAACTTGTTCCATTCCTGCAGACTTGCTACTGGAGGAATGACAAACTATTTGACTTTACTATTCCTTTATGCACTTGGGAGCAAAAGTGTTGCATCTGCTTTGTAGTGCTGGTGTAATGGTTTTATTTGCATTTCATTGCTTGACAAATTACATTTTTTAACTTTGGTATTCAGGGCTCAAGAAAAAAGGGTAGTAGATAAAAGATGCTTAGAATGAAATCCTCATAAGCAGCAGCAGCATGCACACTCTTAACCCAAAGGTAAAATGTATGTTAAGTCTCAGAATCCCACAAGCTTGGAATGTGCCAGGTTGCTTTTGCCCAGTACAGTGGTACCTCCGGTTACAGACGCTTCAGGTTACAGACACTTCAGGTTACAGACTCCTCTAACCCATAAATAGTACCTCGGGTTAAGAACTTTGCTTCAGGATGAGAACAGAAATTGCGCGGCGGTGGCAGCGGGAGGCCCCATTAGCTAAAGTGGTACCTCAGGTTAAGAACAGTTTCAGGTTAAGAACGGACCTCCAGAACGAATTAAGTTCTTAACCCAAGGTACCACTGTACTTATTTCCAGAATTTTAGGGCCTGTTCATGTGTGCTTCTCCTTAGGGTAACATCTTCCCTTCTTCCCCTTATTATGAGTCCATGGAAGCCCTGTATTTATCTGAATGTGGGATCTCTCAGTGCCCTTGTTTTTTTCTACCTGTGGTGAGGGTAGCAAGTGTAGGTATACAGTCCTAAAGGCACAATCCTACTTGCTGCAGATAAAATTTGAGGGCGTAAGTAACTGGCAAAGGCTGCCATATATCAGTCTGAGAACCATATCTACCTTCGTTTCCAGGATACTGCACTTGCCTTTAAGCTGCTTTCCAGCCAAATTACGCTGAAAAATTTGTGGATACAACAGTTTGCTTTCCATACTGAAGAGATAACACTCCAAAGGAAAGGAGGTGGACAGTTGCTTCTGTGTCCTACTTTCTTCCATATGTTTTATTCAGGAACAGCATGCAATCTTATTTTCTCACCGCCAGAATCTTAACAGTCCTTATAAGCAATTTCTAGTAAGGTAGCTGTCTTCGTTTGTTGCAGCAAAAAAGAACAAAGAACCTTGTGGCACTTTAAAGACTAACAAATTTGTTATGGCGTGAATCATAGAATTGTAGAGTTGGAAGGTACCCTGAGGATCATCTAGTCCAATCCCCTGCAATGCAGGAATATGCAGCTGTCCCACATGGCGATCAAACCTGCGACCTTGGTGTTATCAGCACCATGCTTTAACTAACTGAGCTATCCGTAGGAGGCCTTGAAACTTCACTGGGCAGCCTGGACTCAGCTTGGATCCTGGTTTCTCTACACCAAACCTTGTTGAGAAGATAAAATGTGGGGTGGGGAGGGAGCCCTGTTCATGCCACCTGAAGGTCCTTGCAAGAAGGAAGGCAGAGTAATATACATTGGACAGATACTGAGAAATACCTTGCACAATTACAGTTGATAGGACAAAGTAGAATAGCATTTTGGAAGTGGTTGTTCTATGAGCATCTGTTGCCTGATTTCCCTTCAAATCCTTTTTTTACATGGCAGATGTCATTATTTTTGTGTTCCTTTCTACTGCCAGGCCCCCTGTTGCTCAGTCTGGTTTACAAATAAGTATATTTTGTAGTATTTCTTTAGCTGTTCTCTATATAACACCACTTAAGTTCTTCAGGTCTGCTTAGTCAGAGATGTATGTCTGGTGAAGACACTGCAGAGTGTTCCTGATATTAGGTGATCGAGTCAAGCTGGATATTATCTAGGGAGATGTACAATACCAGTTCTCAAATGTTCTGTCACACTCTTAAGAGAGCAGTCCTATTTAATACTGGGGAGGAAAGCTGGATCTACACTGATCTAAAAAAATGCTAAGGAAAAAAGGTTATATAGCTCACAATGCAATTTTCCGTTTACTGCTGTATAGCGCTCCCGGTGTCACATTTTAATAACGCATTTATAATGTTATACAGTAGAACCTCTACTTACGACCGCGTCTACATGGGCCTGGTCCAAGTTGTGACCGCGGCAAACCCAGAAGTAAATACTGGGTTTGCCGCGATTCGCGCACACGCAGAAGTGGCTGCCGCCGTCTGCACATGCACAGAAGCGCGCTGCCACCGAATGCTCCTGCGCACAACGGCTCTTCTACCAGCAACCCGAATTGACTTACGGATGGACCTCCGGAACTGATTACGTCCATAAGTAGAGGTTCCACTGTAACTCACCAGTACTGTATAGATTAGTTCTAAGTCTCATTGAACTCAGTGGGACTTTCTGTTGAACAGTCATATATAGGATTGCCCTGTAAGGGCAAGAAGCAGAACCTAGCACTGAGTTATGTGTTAAAGAGTAGGCTTTATTGTTAGTGACCTGGAGCCAGTTTAGCCCCATAACTCCAGTGGTGTGTCTTGAGTGCACCCCTTAGTTTTCTCCCATTCCCCACCATGGGGAGAGGCAGGCATAGTACTACATTTGGGAGTGGGGGCACTGTTGCATGAGGGTCATAATTCAGTGCTGGAGCATGGGCTTTGTATGCAGAGGTCCCTTGCTTCAGTCCCATCTCCAGTGGAAAGTATTTCAGCAGGGCCAGGAATGACCTGTGCACGAGTCTTAGGAGAGACTCTACCAGTCAGAATAGATAGAACAAACTTAAATGGAGCATGCAAGGCAACTTCATAGGAAGGTGAAAGCTGCCTGCATCCTGAAAATGGATGGCCTGATCCTGTGTGATAGGTATACCACAGGTACATGTGCCCCTCTTCCCAGAAGATCTTGCAATGTAGAAACCCTCCCTCCTTGTGTATCTGTCTCATCATGATGATCAGTATTTTGCTGTCAAGTCATAAACATGTCAAAAGCAAAAGGATCCAGATAACTGGGATATTGTATGCCTGTGTGCATGTGCCAAAATATTTAATAGGTATTCTGGAAAAGTAGTAGCAGCCACAGGGCATGTCATGGTGGATTTGCTCAAGTTTGACTTTAATGATTTTTGACTATGGATTTGGAAGTTTACCATTTGTTGTAACTTGTCTTCCTAGCTTATGCCCTGACAGTGAGCAGAAAGCAAATAGGATGGGCAGCTTTCTAACTTGTATAACTGAAAGTCAAAGTGATATTGTTAAGAGTTTTACATGACAATGATTCCTTTCTACTCATGACTTTCCCCTGCTGTGTCATAATGATTAACTTTTAGGGTAGCTCATAAAGCAGTGCAGAAACCTGAATTTAAAGATGTATATGTAGGTGAATTCCTAAGATACAGGAAAACAGGATAGTTGTTCGGTCAATGGAGATGCATAAAATGAAGGCATCTGGCTTGAACATTTTTGCTATTCTAGTGCAGCATCAAAATAATGAAATCTCAGAATATCCAAGTAGACCTTACATAGAAACTAGGTATTTTCATTGAACAAAGAAACAAACAAAAACAACAGCAAAGGCACCACCCTGGATTAAAATTTCAGATAAAATGTATTCTAACATCATGCCATGGTATTCTGTGACAACTGCTACACTTTGCAAACTTGCAAAAATGTGGTACTGGTTCATGGTAATTTAAAATAGGTAGTGAGGCATATGGCAGGGTGAACTTAAATGAATTGATAGGGAATTGAAATTACTGTAAATATACTTTGTAATGTAGAAGTGGATGGGCAGCCACCATACCCAAGCAACATTGTCTTTGCAGATGACTTGTATTATAACTGTAAGCATTTGTGGCAGACTTTAGGCAATCATTTGGTTGCGGAATAATGTGTTGCAAAACATTAGGTTAGAGTTGCAGTTAGTGTTGGAAATGTCCGTTGCGACTCCACTTATGCTGTAGGCTGCTGTACCTGCATGAGAAGGGTAGATAGAGAGGGGCCTCCAAGTTTCCTACACTATCCTGGTGCTGACTCGTTGAACCATAGAACTTCCTTCAGTGTTAGACTGATTCTCTTAGGGTTGCTGAGCTGACCTCCCTCCCTCCCTTCTTCCTCCATGCTTCTCTGCAGAACAGACATACTTGAAATGAAACAGAAAGCATGGCTTTTTGCATATGCTAGATAGGAAAGATCCTAGTTCTATCAAACATATATTTTCTGTAATAAATGTAGTTTTCTTATTTTCCAAACTCTAGAGTCTCAGTGGTATTGCATCCAGAAAGTGTGCTGCTCCAATAGGAAATCAGTGTTAAGTTCAACTTCTGCCAAGCATTTAAACCCCAAGTGCCATCAATCGTAGCCACTCAGCAGCCAGTATAGCAGTTTTTGGATGTAATTTTTGTACAGACTTAACAATTCTTGAAGTGTCATCTCAAGAAAAAATATAAAAAGAAGAAAATTCCTGGATGCCAAGATCCAAGTTACGGGCAAGAACTATTTGTTGAGAGAACTCCAGCAGAGATTTAAAATCACAAAATAAGCAGCAAGTTAAAGTGTGGAAATATAGGCTGTAAAACCTTCTAAGTGAGTTTCACAATTTCTTCCTTTAAAAGTTCCTTCCAGACTTTCCCTCTTCCCCCAGCAAAGGAAAAGACCACATGTTTGATAGGGTTACTTACAAACCCTGAGGATCATCTAGTCCAACCCCTGCAATGCAAGAATGGCCATCCAGTCTTTGCTAAAATCCTCCAAGGAAGGAGAGTCCACCACTGTCTGAAGAAGTCCGTTCCACTGTCAAATAGCTCTTGCCTTCTGAAAGTTATTCCTGATGGAATCTCCTTTCTTGTAACTTGAAGCTTCCCGAGCAGGAGAAAACAAGCTTGCTTGCTTCCTCTTCCATGGGACAGTCCTTTAGATATTTGAAGATATTTATTTTCTAGGCTAAACATACCCAGCTCCTTCAACCATTCCTTATAAGGCTTAGTTTCCAAACCCTAGATCATCTTGGCTGCCCTCCTCTGCACATGTTCCAGTTTGTCAATATCCTTTTTAAATTGTGGTGTATAGAACTGGAAACAGTATTCTAGGTGTGGTGTGGCCAAGGCAGACTAGAGTGGTACTAAGACTTCATTGACCTGAACACTTTGATGCAGCCTAGAATAGCGTTAGCTTTTTTTTTTTTTGCTGCTGCACCAGTCTATGGACTCATGTTAAGCTTGTTAAGCTAGATTCTCTTCACATGTACTGTTGGCAAGCCAGTAGTCAGATTCACGTGTCTTTCCATATATCAGTCACAAAAGTTGCACAGGCAGTAAAACGTAGCTTAGTTCCAGAGTGGTGAAAGTTCCTAAACTATTGCTATAGGGATGTGAGAGAGGCTTGTAAAAGCCATGTGGCTGGAGCACTGAGCTTAGACCTCCTCACACATTGAGTTCACGGGTAGACTGGGAGGGAATAAAGGCTTGATTACCTTTTTCTAGAGCTGGACAATATATTGGTAAATTGTCAGAAACTTGTGTGGCGTCCAGATCGTGAGACTGGTTTCAGACATTTTGGGCTGGCAGTACATTGCTCCAGCTGAAATTGCCTGCAGAGACTTCCTGCCCCCTAGCTGAACAGTTTAACGAAGACTCTATGGCCCTCTGGCTCACAGTTAAAAACAATTTTTTGGTTTTTTTGAAAGGCGATTAAAATCAAGAATTGCTGAAAAGAAATAAAGCACACATAACTTCTATTTGTCTGGATGGGTTTGTTAGAACAAAAATATTTTAAGGATGTGCTAAAAAGAGTAGAGTGAAGGTGCTTGCCTGGTGTTAGTAGCCAAGGAGTACCAAAGTGTAAGTCCAAGCTGTTAAGGGCTTTATATAATAAATGTAACAATTTGACCTTCTGGGTTGACATTCTGGGAAAATAAAGATGGTCGGCAGCTGCTGGTAAGTACAGTTGTACCTTGGATCCTGAACGCCTTGTGAGTCGAACGTTTTGGCTCCCGAATGCTGCAAACTCGGATGTGAGTGCGAACGTTCTTTGGAAGCTGAACATCCGACACAACTTCCGCAGCTTCTGAACGTTTTGGAAGCCGAACGGACATCCGGAATGGATTCTGTTTGACTTGCGAGGTACCACTGTACTTTATTTTGAAGCAAGCCTTGCCAGGATTAAAAAACAGAAAAAAAACCGCAGCAGTGGCACAACTGTCTGAGGATATTCTGGCACCAATGAGCACAGCGTAAGGGACTGCAACTTTAGATGGTGAAATATAAGTAAGTAGTGAAATATAAGAAAGTAGAGGGGAATATGGGGGAGGGAATTAAATATTGCCGTTAATAACTTTCAGATCTTCTAGTGTGCCTTCCTACCGCTGAGAGAAAGTTCTTTGACACCTGCATAACAGTGGCTTGATGGTGATGTTTGCATTAGTTATTAAATTGCCATGAAACAGGATTCATTAGTGAGTAAGAAAGGGTTACTAATTAACTTCCTAGTAACTTACTGGATGAGGTGTGTTCCATGAGGACCGATTCTCTGTGTGTAAATATGCCATATGAGTGAGCAAAGTAGGAAATCTTGTCACTGCTGCTTGAATAACTTTGTATTTTCTATATCTTTCATTTTGTAGTGGCTGTTGTGCCCTATTCTAAAGGGAACATGAGATTTGCTCAGCAAGACAATCAGAAATTCTAAAGGTAAGTAGATCTTTTGGCACACAGAAACTTTAATGATATTCAAATGCTACCTTTTTGAGCAGAGGGTTTCTGTGTACATGTCAGGAAGGACTTTCTGAAGGTAAGAGCTATTTGACAGCAGAAAAGTTAAACTGGAAAAGTTTTGTTGTCCCCTTTTCGATTAATTATAATTGACAGCCAAGAATCTGAGCTGCCTGTTCCTTGTGCAAAACTACTGCAACACTGATGGTGAAAAGGCAGCATATTGATTTCTGTCAACATAATGCTAAGTACATTTGGCATGTTCCATCTCTGAACATAATGTGGTCCTCTTGCATCTTTGTTTCATTCAATAAGAGTGAAGTCCTATGCATGTCTTCTTAGAAATGTGTCCCACTAAGTTCAGTAGGACTTACTTTCAAGTAATAGGATTGTGTACGCTTGCAGCTGGAGACAAGGATTCAAAGTTCAGCATGTTCAAGTGGGCTTAAGGATTGTGCTTCTTGGTAGCAGTCCTTGCATTGCAAACCTCTTTTGAAATGGAGAAGGCCTTCTATAAAAGGTTTCCTATATGGGTTCAGTTTTTTGGTTTGGACATCATTAAAAAGATTCAGCAAAACTATTTATTTTCTGTAGCACTATCTCCATACAATATCAGATTATTACAATTCCTAAACACTTGCATTTTCTGATCATTCATTTCACTTTATTAAAATCAGTAACTTTTGGTCTGGTTTAGTTCTCCAGTTTTGTGGGTGGGGTGGCATGAAATTAGTATTTTATTTCTCTCTCATATTATTTTGTGTATTCTTTGCAAAAAAAGAAGTGTGCTATTAGTGCATTTTAATTCCCTCCCAATCTCTTCGTAGGTTTTCCTTCAGTGACATGAAATCTTAAAGTGCAGACCAAATAATAATAAAATGGGAGCAACTAGCAGCAGCGTCAATGAGCTTCCGGAAAACGAATACTTAAAAAAATTGTCAGGACGAGAGAGAATCTCTGAGAATGACCCATTCTGGAATCAACTGCTCTCTTTTAGCTTTAATACCCCAACAAACAGGTAAGGTGTTTAGTAAATGTGTAAAAGATTTTAAGTAGTCTGAAGCTCTTGGGTGGTTGTAACTTTCATTTGCTCGTATTTTGCAGCTAGTGTTTCTAGCCCTCTGCCTGCAGATGGTGCCTCTTTATTTAAAAAGCTCTTCAGCCCAGATACAGTATGCAGCCACTGTGCTTTTTGCTCACCCTCATTCCTTATCTGCTGTAGCAAGCAGGACTCTGATTTTGCCTTTCAGCAGGTGAAAAAAGGGATTGGGTGAAGGGAGTGATAGAATAGTGGAAGGAGGGGAGACACAAGTGCCGCCTTTCAGTGATTTAGCAGCCCTACCTAGTGACAGTAATAGCCATTCTTCTTTCTGCTATTTGTGGATTAAGGTACTTCCAGGTGTCACCAAAGGAGTTGAGGTAAGTTTACATGCTTGTCATGAACTCATTCACTAATTTGTGGATGTCTTCTTAGACGCTCAGATGAAAAAGCATATTCCTGTTCTTTACAATAACTGTTGGTGTAAATATAGAGGATCTAAAGAGCTTAAAGTGTATTTATTTAATTGTTGAAGTCTTTCTATGAATTCAGCCATATTACTGTATTATTTGTGAATGCCAAGTTCATTTTCAACTGAGAGTTACTTGAGTGTCATGATTTTGGGTTCCCAAGTGGTGTTTTTTAATCAAAACCATTATTCATTTGCGTCTGAGAATTGATTAAAAATGCACTATGTTGTGCTTAGCACTAGATGGTGCTGCTGTATGAGAGGAAAGCAATTGAGAGAGCATGCAAATACTGTAGCTTAATGGACACTTCAGATGTAAAGTGTTTTTTACATAAATAGAATTTCCAGGCAGAAAATGAATGCAAATCACATAGACATTATCAAGTGTGTGATGATCTCACACCTGTCTTGTTTTACTATTTGTTCTTACATGAAGAAGCTGTGCTTGGGTGCAGCTTCCCAGCACACACAAATAGATATCCACGCACACTCTCCTCTCCTCTTCCTTTCACACACACTGATTTTCCTTTAACAGATATGACCATAGTTTTCTGTGACTTCTTAATTGACAAACCATGGTTTGCATAAACATTTGTTTGCCTGCAAGCCGGTCCAGACTGGTTTGCAGGCAAGCTATAGTTTGCCACAAAATACCCTGACAGATGATTATCAGTGTGTGCACAAGCCTAACTCACCTAGCAGTAAATCATGGTTGAACCAGCCAGATTTTATTTTGATGTCTGCATTAATACATTCTGCTCTTCTGCATCTCTTTACTAGTGAAATAACGTAGCCTGCAAAACTTGAGTGCTTTGCTCACTTAAGTTGAAAATAAGGTTGAACTCTTACTCATTTAACTATAGTAATGCGTGATTTGCTTAACAAACTCCTTCCCCCCATCAGTTCTGATAAATACCACAATTAATCATGTATTTTACTGAACAAACACCACTGCTCTGTTCGCCAACTCTTATGGCTGCTTGGCATATAATGTTTCTTCTGTGCAGGTACAGTGGTACCTTGGGTTAAGTACTTAATTCGTTCCAGAGGTCCGTTCTCAACCTGAAAGTGTTCTTAACCTGAAGCACCACTTTAGCTAATGGGGCCTCCTGCTGCCGCTGCGCCGCCGGAGCACAATTTCTGTTCTCATCCTGAAGCAAAGTTCTTAACCCGAGGTAATATTTCTGGGTTAGCGGAGTCTGTAACCTGAAGCGTATGTAACCCGAGGTACCACTGTATAAGGAAAAGGCCCCATGCAGATCTGTGTTCATTGCTGCCACTTGCCCCTTCTTAACATGTGCACATGTGTGCTGTCTACATGACCAAACACATAATTTATTCCCCCCACTAACTGTACCAGTGTGAGCCCATATAGGGAAAATGATGTGTAGAGACATGGAGTTAACTTTCAAGCAAGTATGTTCAGGATTGCAGCCTTATTTTAATTCCCAGTTTGATTCAGTTACCATTTGTGTGTGCTAAGTGCCTTTCCTTCATTCAGCTACTTGCTTGTTGGGGTGCTTGCCCCTCTCCCCTCTAGCACCTATACTTTTGTGGTATGGTACAGGCAGCAGTCATTTTCAGTGTGCCCAATTGATATGTGATTGCCGATGCGTGGGTCCTTTTGGGAGGAGACAAAATGGGCCATGGGAGCCAGGAATGGAACCCCTGCATGAAATGGTCACCTCCTGTATTTGTATCTTGGGGGGTTAAGGCTACTCCTGTGGGCAAGGAAGTAATAAAACCCTTCAGCATGTATATTTCAATGAGCCTTCAACCTGCTTTTATCAAAATAACATACTGTTTCAAACATGTGAGCACATTTTTCTATTTGTACTCTTTCAAAATGCGTTTTGGACTGTGTTCCCACTCTGTTTGGTCATGGCTAATTTTTACCTGCTGTTCCCTCACCCATCTGCTAGGTTGGCCTAATACGTAGCCTATTTTTTCTTAAAAAAAAAATGGAGCTGTATCTGTGGGTGTATATGCACTTGTTCAGATACCCTGACAGGCAGCATGAAGAAAAACTCAGCTATGCAGCTGCGAATAAAACTTTTTGAATGTGTTGTAAATTGCAATATACAGTTGTGACACTAGATGACAACTGTGAGCTGTAGCAAAATGATTTTAACAAAAAACATTTTCACATTTTTAACGTGTGTAGATTCCACTCAAGTCACTGTAGTGTTCCTTTTTCTTATTGTTACATGTCAGTTCTGCTATTGTGTGTAATTGTTAAAACAGGTGTGGTTTTAAAACTATTTTAGTGGCCTTATCTAGATGGGTATGTGTGGAGAGGAAACTGGTATGTACAATGTGGTATGTCTATATAAGGTATCATTTGAAAGCTTTTCACAATCTTCCCTCCATAAAGCAATACTTTGTGTGAGTGGTCCTGTACAAGCTGAGGGGTACATCTCTCTTCCCTGATCCATGGTTAATTGCCCTTGGTCTATGGGAGCTAGGTGTAGTTCACAATCAGTACAAGTGTGTGACTAATGAGCAAAAATATTCATATGCATTTCCTTTATGTGGCTTTGATGATAATCTGTGGTCCTGCAGATGTTGTTGGAACATACCTCCCATTGCCCCTGAATATTGGGTATGCTGGCTGGAGTAACGAGTGTTGAAATGCGACAATATTTGGTGGGCCACAGGTTTCCCATTCCTTCCTTAATCCTTCCTATCCTCACCAGTTGCCCTGCCTTTCCCTACTGAATGCTGTTTTGTCCAGTTTGGCCGTCCTTTAATAAGTTGGAAACCATCTCCTTCTATTGTCTTTTTCACTTCTCCATCTCCCACTGTGAAAAAAAAGAAAACAATTCTTCCCTATCCATAACTAGTCAGTCATTCTGTGCTCTAATCACAGGTAAGCACTTCCTTCATAAGTAACTTGTTTATTTCTTATTGTTTGTTCAAGGGAACATTGATCCTAGCATCCTTGCCATTTGTCTTGGAGAAACCCCAGTGTGCAGAAACAGCAGTGATACTAGTAATATTCGCTATTGAGTCCTGTAGTATAGATGGAAATGGTTCTGGTTCCTTAGCTTTGTAGCAATAGGAATCTTGGTCACTGTCGGTGCAGGCTTTACCTTGACATACCTAGCAGGTGTAAACTTGTTGAAACCTTTGCTCCAGAGTCCTTCACTTCAACCTGGAGAATGTGGTTTAAACCTGCAAGGCAGGGTGAATTTTCTATGTCAAGCTTATAAATGTTGCTTGACTTAATTTAACATCACTTTGACTGTGTAGTCATTTATTATTGCCAGTGTTGTGAAACAATTAAAATTAAGTAGCTGTGTGAGATAATTATCATGGATTGTGCAAAGTTTTCCCAAGAGTAGCATTGAAAGCTCATCAGTTAAAACTAAGATTACTGTTGATAAGTATCATTCTTTTTTTAAAAAAAAATGTAGGGAATATATGCATCATTTATGGAAAATGTCTTTTTCTCCCATCATCTTTGGTG